CCCAGTTTTTCTTAATATCCTCGATAAACATACACTTTCCGGCGTTCTATGAAGCATTATGCATGCGAATTTCCGGCCTCGGATTATGGAAAGTGGGACACATCGGTATGGGATAGGCTAACGTGCAGGACAGGAGGATAGATATATACCACAACCGTTCATAGAAAGTTGGTCAGTTGATTAACTTCCATTATCAATACGAAGAGTGGCAGTTCGGTGCTATGGATTATAAGACCCATGATGTTGTCGACTATGATGAAAGTGAAGCGTAGGCGAAGCCACTTAAATATGGAAAAAATTAGAAAAAAATGCGATTTAAAAATGCAATTTAAAAATGCAGAAAAATAAACAAAATGTGCCAATACAGCTATCATCTTACTCTTTGAACATGTCTTACGAATTAACATTGTCGAATTATAAAATGTATTTTTCGTATGCAAGGAGAGTTTCGAGACTACCAGTAAATCAGTAATATGAGATGTATTCACCTTATATCTCATATTATAAAAAGTAGTAAAATAAATTTATGCATGCACGTTCAGCGAGTCAGCGTAGGAACTTCATACATGATCCACGTCCCAACAGGTCAAAAATGAGACTGAGGGAGAATGCATCTGACACAAAAACCATTTAAGACAGTAACTCTTGATGCTCTGCTTTCAAATACAGCCTAATGCCTTGAGGGCAGGTGGAAAATCAGGCCTTTGGTCATCTAAGCGACCCGTTGTGGTCTTGATTGCAATAAGGGAATTGATGGAGTAGCAAAGGCTTACGATGAGGACAGCTGACGCGATACCTCCGGCTTTTGGCTGCCTTCCATGTCCAGCTCTACATTCTGTCCTGCGGGATCTCTGCCTTCAAGCATGTCCTGACTCCCGTCGGCCCCAGTGAAGCCACTGGATGCCTGTAAGCCATTCGTTTGTCGCACACCCCCCATTTCCAGGGCGGCGCGCAGTAGCTGTCGTGTCGTGTCACGAGGCTCCCCTGAACGCCTTCCGTTGTTCAAAGTCACCAAACGACCCGCCTCTAGCTGTACCTCTCCTTCGTCAGCAGCACATCTGGTAGTACTGGAAGTGTACAACTCTGATCCAGAGGTCTCGTCGGCCAGTGGCATGGTGAATTTGGTCGTGTCGACTCCCAGACTGACGCCACGATCCAAACGCAGTCCTGAAGGTCGTGAAGGCGCCGGATCGCCATTTGTGGAGCCAGCCTCGGCCACCATGTTACCTGCATCCGGGGAACTGGGTTTCCAGTCAGTCTCATCGTCGATCGACTTGCTGGTGGGTCCATTACTTCGCGAGGTGGCCCAGCGCTTCCGAGCGGCAGTGGTTGTTGTGTCGGTGACCATGAGGCAGTCAGACGAGAGGGTGCTGCCAATGTGCCCGGATTCGAGAGGGCCCGAGTCACTGTGAAAAATGGAGCCAGAGTCGACAAGGAAGTTGGTCGCCTCATCGAAGTTGACGCCGCCTTCGTCGTCAGTGTGTCCGTCGTCAGCAGAAGCAAGGTAGGAGAATGTGGTCGGCTTCCTGGCAGTATTCAAAGGATGAGTGCTCAAGAGGGAGACTGCTGGAGAAAGGCCAGCGATTGGAGGTAGGGGCAATTTGTGTGCGGTCGCCAGAGTGCGAAGGTCGTTGAGGAAGTCAGCCAGCTTATGACAAGGCTGGTGTTAGCACAGAAATGAGTTAAAGAATGCATATATACTTTACTGGAGAAGCGATAAAGTATTAAAGTGTTTATAAAACTTTGACTCAATCAAAGGTCAAGAAGTCCACTGTACCCTGTGTCCAACACATAAGTGATTATGCCAAAAACAAAGAGCCCACAAACTTACAAACTGCAGAATGACTTGTAGGACATAGAGGATCAAAATTCATTTATTTATCTGGTTTCCAAAACCATTATCAATAATAAAGAAGCGGCTCCCTTAGAACCAATGCAAAAGACCGTCAGTTAAAGGGAGATGCGATAAAATACGACGCAAAAATTGGCCTATTTCCAGCTTCGAGTTTGTGCAAATGGAAAATGATCAGACGGAAGACTCATTGTAGCAAAAAGTTGCAATGATATTTTGAAGCTGCTTGACCTAGTTTTCGCGACTTGGTCTTGTTGTCACGGCAATTTAATGTAAATGCATCCTACCCGAAGTCCTCTGCCTTATTAGTCATGATAATTTACAAGGTATGACCGTAAAGTGAGTACATTACAAGAAGTTCCCTCAGCATCATCAATGAACCTTGCCAATCTTCGTATCTAGCTTCATTTCGTCAGAAAGATAAGTGCCTCTAAAAGTGGCAAGGCTCACAGAATATGCCGACCACTATGGAGTTGAAATATCTTAGAATGTATCAAGTACCTAATGACTATAATGACAGAAAAATGAGATGTATTTATCCTATTTCATCTAAGGTGATGAAGGATTGGTAGTAGAATTTTCCCAC